ATAAGGTTTTTGAAAAGTTTAAGATTTTCAAGTCTAGAGTAGAAAATCAACTCAACTTGAAAATTAAGAGGTTTAGAAGTGATAGAGGAGGAGAACATACAATGACAGGGTTCAAGGACTTTTGTGCTTCAGAGGGCATAATACTTGAATCCACTGCTCCTTACTTACCCCAATCAAATGGTGTTGCCGAGCGTAAGAATAGAACGTTAACTGAAATGTTAAATTCCATGTTACTTACAGCTGGCATGCCTTCCTCCTACTGGGGAGAAGCAGTTCTAACTGCTAATCACATCCTAAACAGGTTGCCGCACTCTAAGTTGTCTATGACACCTTATGAGATATGGCATAAGTGTCCTTGTAGATATGATACTCTTAAGACTTAGGGCTGTGTTGCTTATGTAAGAATACAAGATCCTAAAAGACCTAAAGTGGGACCTAGAACCATTACTTGTGTATATCTAGGTTGTGCGGAAGATAGTGCTGCAAATAGATTTTTAGATCTATTTACTAATACAGTGATAGAATCTAGAGATGCAGAATTTTTCGAGAACAAGTTTCTCAGAGATCATGGCTTGAATGTTTCTGGATCTACAGATATGATTTCAGAGTCTCCTGTAGAATTTGAAGCAAGCTCTTCTGACACTAATTCCCCATAGCTGACTATTGAACAAGTTCCAATTGGAGTATCTACAAGAGATAGAGTTCCCAAAAGTTTTAGTGAGGACTTTGTTACTTACCATCTAGAGGATGATCCATTCTCCTATCAGGAAGTAATGAGATCTAGGGAATCCCTACTGTGGGCAGAAGCCATAGATAATGAAATGAGCTCTCTGCTACAGAACCACACTTGGCAGCTAGTCCATTTGCCAAAAGGGGCTAAGGCTATAGGCTGTAAGTGGGTATTGAAGAAGAAACTGAATAGTGATTGATCAATAGCCAGATACAAAGCACGTTTAGTAGCTAAAGGCTATAAACAGCTGAGTGGAATCGACTATTTTGATGTCTATTCACCTGTGTGTCATCTATCAACTATAAGAATTCTTCTTGCTTTGGCATCTATTGAACACTTTGTTGTGCATCAAATGGATGTAAAGACAGCTTTCCTAAATGGAGAGTTAAATGAGGAAATCTACATGGAACAACCGGAAGGGTATGTCATGAAAGGTCTTGAGGACAAAGTTTGTAAATTGAACAAATCTTTGTATGGTCTTAAATAAGCACCTAAGATGTGGCATCTTAAATTTGACAAAGTGGTAAAGAGTTATGGCTTTCAGTCTAGTTATTCAGATAAATGCCTTTACCATCGTTTTATGTCAAATAATATAGTCATCATTTGCGTGTATGTTGATGACATGTTAATTCTTGGTTCCGATCATTCTGTAGTGAGTGACGTGAAAGCTATTTTAGCTAAAGAATTTGACATGAAAGATCTTCGTATTGCTAATACCATTCTTGGTATGAAAGTAAGCTTTGAAAGGCAAGTCATCTTCCTTAGCCAGACTCATTATATGGAGCAACTACTTTCTACCTGGGGATACAGTGAGTGTAAACCGAGTGCGATACCATGTGATTATAATAAAAGGCGAGTCCTAATGAAGGGACCGGTGTCGATCGATTAAAGTACTCGGCGATTGGTAGTCTCATGTATGCTATGAGTTGCACTAGACCTGACATAGCCTTTACAGTTGGCATGCTGAGTCGTTTCACTAGTAATCCTAGTAAAGAGCATTGAGATGCCCTCAGTAGGCTAATGAGATACCTTAAAGGTACTAAAGATTATGCTCTATGTTATTCTGGTTATCCTCCAACTGTGGATGGATATTTTGATGCCTCATGGTGCTCAGAAATTGGAAATAGTAAGTCCACTAGTGGATATGTATTCACTTTGGGTGGAGCTGCTATTACTTGGAAATCCAAAAGACAGACTTGTATTGCATTGTCGTTTATGGAATCAAAACTTTTTTCTTTAGCCTCAGCCGGCAAAGAGGCAGAGTGGATAAAGAATCTGATTATGAATATTCCTTTGACTCAGCTAAAGATTACTTCTTTAAACTTGTTCTGTGATAATCAAGTCACTGTCCAAGTCGTCAAGAATGCTCTCTTTAATTCCAAGAGAAGGCATGTGAGACTAAGACATGCGTTGTTGAATTATCTGCGCGAACAAGGAGTTATCACCTTGATCGATGTGCGATCGACGGATAACATGGCCGATGCTCTCACGAAGGGTATGCCTACAGATCGATTATTCAAAACAGTGGGGGAAATGTGGTTAAAGACTATGTAGATACATCTTAATTACCATTTACTTACCTTCTAATTGTATGTTTTGCATTATCGAATCTTCCTTTGTTGGCCACAATGATAAGCACGGTTTATGTGTTTCATCGATGTTCATGGTTGCTGATTAATTTGAAAATTGTGAGTTGTCTTATTCCAAACTTGATGAAGATGACGTTAACCTAATTCAAAGGTTCTATCTGAGGAGCTTGTGTCATTCCAAACTTGATGACTGGGGAGCTTGTGTCATTCCAAACTTGATGATACAATCCAACTAGGTTGGACTATCCTTTTGGTTAAATAATCTCATTCCAAACTTGATGCTAGATTATTTGACTTTAAGGAATTAGTAATTGTGACATTCCAAATTGAAATATAGAGATAGTTGTTTGCATAAGAAGCCTATTGGTTATTGTAAGTGACATGACTATTGGTCCTGTTCTTTGAAACTAGACAATGGTTATTCACTTACAAATAAATCGAAGTTAATGGCTCTTTGTAATTCAAACTGTTTAGGCCTTGTTCATAATTTATGAAACTGGCTTTATGCTTATGAGCATGATATTATGATGCTTTATGACATTAATATATGTTCTTCTCTACCTGATTGAATTCATAATAATATGAAATTCATATTTGACATTCTACAGGGGATGGCAGAGATGGAGGAGAGCTTACTGGGTAGGATCCTGACTAAGATGATCTACTAGATGAATGAATATATCATTTAGAGTATGCAGGGACTTGACAAGTCACCTGCTATTGCCCATTTTGATGGAGTCCATTTACTTGAGACTTCCATTTTGCTATCTCTATTTTGTGAACATTATTGTGCTTGGTTGTGAACTGATTCTGAGATTTATTTTGGATATTTGGGATTTGGATGAGTTTAGACTGAATTTGAAACTCTTTATATTTAATTTTATGTGCTGATCTCAGAACAGATTCATGATAAGGATGATTAACTTATTTAGATTGCAAATTATGATTGAGTTTAATATTTAGTGCTAAAACTCTTTGACCGATCCAAGTTGATTGTCTTGGACTGAATGTGGATGATTCATATTTGTTTGAACATTACACTGACCACCGTATTGGATTGTGCTGTATGGTGAACATAGGAGGAGATTGTTGGATATATTATTAATATAGTCCAAATAATATGTTCGCATACAAGCCCAATAGGTTTAAAGCATGGTTATTTTGGGCCTATATGCGCTGGAGCCCAATAGCTTACATATAAACTCTGAGGTTTACCTACGCTGGAGGTAACACTGTTGAGCGTTCCAAACTTGACGTCTGTTGGTGTAATACTTCAAGCAAAACACTATCTACTCTCTCAAACCCATAACCTCCAACAGTTCTTCCCCTTATTTCTTCTCTCTTAAGCCTTTTAATGACCTGCTCAGGTCTAAGCTGTCCTGGTTGTAGCCGTGAATAGGTTATCGTTAGGAGGCCGTCCTTTGCACAAGTCTTATCGTCCAGTGATATCGACTACATACGAAATATTCATGGAGGATAAAGATTGATAAACATTGTTCGACATATGATATCTATGTATTAATTTATTAAAATTTGGAGGTGGTATCCAGGATTTGGCCGCCGCAAGTTTGGTTTTCTATGCCTCTGTGCCGTGCAGGTTCGTCGAGCCCTGTTGATTTGAAAACACAAGGGCCCCACAATTCAATTCCCCATTTTGCCCGGGCAATCCATCCTCTGGTGGGCCTAAACATTTGCACTGGAGTCCAAGTGATGTTGACCATTCACTTTGACTACCCACGTTCCAATCAAATGCGTTGTGAGCAAATAAGCATCTTGTCTTCCTTACTAGGGTGAATCGGGTCCAGTTTGGGCCGAATCGAAAATGTTCTGACCCAAAGTTATCTGTACCCGACCCAACATATATCCAATTCATACACGATCAGGCTCACATTGCTAAAATACTTTTATTTTTAATCAAGTATAGGAAAACTCATACCCAAATTCAGGTGAAAGCACAGAGCGAGCGAGTGCAAAATCGGGCAAAGGCGAGAGAAAATCATAGATGTGGGCTAGGTCTAAATAAATTGTGAACCCATATAACATCCATATTATTTTAGGTTATATTATGCTAAACTCATTTATTTAATATGATTAATCCATATAACAATTAAGCGCATTAAATATGAGTTAAAAAAATGGATTATGACTCATTTTGACAGGTCTATACCTTGCTTCAGCCCTTCATTCATGAAGTTAAACGAGAAAAAGTAAACCCCCAAAAAGAAAAAGAAGAGAAAACCCGTTATCGTTTGCAATTTGTGGAAGAGCTCGACGTTATTTTCCATTGTCACCAAACACTTGCTGAATCGCAAAAATGCGACGCCTAACTAGAATTCTTGAATACTAGCGGAAAAAAAAAATACCAAACAAACTTAATTGGGCATTTTATTAGATAATGGGGTCCTCCCTTTTAATGTTTAATTTTTAATTTTTTTGTTTTTTTAATGTTCTGATGTGGCAATAGCCCATAGGTCAGGTGGGTGTCCTCGTTATTATTGAAAGAAAAAGAGAAAAAAAAAATTTCAGTTTACTCACATTTGTGGTCAACGAACGGTCAACAATCTACATCGCGGTCCAGCCCGCGAACTCTCTCTCTCTCTCTCTCTCTCTCTCTCTCTCTCTCTCTCTCCTGCTTCTGGGTGATGCTGCCATGGAAGCAAGACGAGGTGGAAGCGTTCGCGTTCGCGTCCTGCGTCCTTCGCGCGACTTGGGTAACACGACGACCTGGGATTCTTGTGGGCTGATGATCAAAGCTCTTTTTTTTTTGGTCCAGTTACCATTGATTGCTCGTTTCTTCTTCTGCATTCTATTCGTTTTTGCTTCGATTATCCAAGCGAAGAAGCCTAGCATCGTCCTTACGTTGCGAACCTTTCGATGTCTATCTGGTCGGCATTGAAATACGGATGTCTTGTTGTTCGAATTCGCGATCAAGTCTGTTTTTTTGTTTTTTGGGCACTTTCCAAGATTGCGAATGATTGATTGAGGTTGGCTTATCTTCTTGGTTCTTCTTAATTGACTTCCCCGAGCAGTGTTATCTCGGAGGTGAGGCTGTCCTGGACATGGGTTTTGCTCTTTTTTAGCTCGTGGGTGATGAGGAACTGAGCTTGTCTAAGTCTGGCTCGTGTGTGAAATATGGAACTTTTGTCTGTGGGAAAGAATGCTTCAGACTAAGTATAGCCTAGCCAATCTGTAGTTATGAACATTATGGTTGGTGTTCATCGGGCAATGTTCTGCAGCTGCTCGAATGCCGTGGAGGGTTCTGAATTATGATAATCTGGTGTGGAGAGCTTAGACTCTTGAGGGAGGATTTGAACACGTCGAGTACTGCCAAGTATTGCAGAGTCTAGCAAGATAGTCTATGTTAAGTAGTTCGCGGACTTGCACTTCTTTTGGTGATCGAATGGGATAATGGCTTACAGGAAGTCGGTGGTGGGTGTAACATTGAGTTAGCTATGATGATTCTAATTCTTGTATTCTTAATGGCATTGGTTGCTAATCAGTACATGCGCCAGCTCTGACTTTGAATTAGGAGATTGAGTGGCTAATAAAGAAAAGAACCATATAATGGGAAATGAAGGGGTGAATGCTGCTTATTTGTCTCCTCAGATGGATTTTGTCCATGTCTGTACTTGCCATGAGGTCATGCTGTTGATTGATTAAGATCTGTCCACGATTTTTATCTACCTCTAAGGCTGAGTTTGCCAATGTTAAGTCATCTTTCTTTCTTGCTTGATATGGCAACAAATGGTTGTGATTTTCGTATTTGCCTTCAAGAACTTAGTCAAATCCTAGGCGCATTTCTTATCTAGTTTAATGTGCCTGATATCCGCCCAATCCTATTTAGCAACAGTCACTAATTGCCAGATAGGATATAGAATATCTTATAAATGGGCGACCCAACATGACCATTAGGATTGACTATCCCTTTTGTCAAAGTACCTCAATAGTCAAGTCATCTAGAAGGATATATTGAGGGAACCATTTGGGCCCTTTAGGCATTACTTCTTTCGAACATTTCTCAATTGCAGTACTCCTACCTGAATTGCTAGTTTTCATTTCTTCTTGATGCTAATCATAATTATGTGTTGAAGGAATCACAGTGGCAAGCCAAGTGAAGCCAGGTAAAAGCATTTCTCTTTGATCATATTGGTAGAGATATTAGCGATGAAAAGTCAATACCTGCTAGATAAAAATATTCAAATGCTTTAAGCCAAACTCGATTAATGTTGGAGTTATCTTACATGGCTGGGTAGGCTTTGATAAAGGAGGTAGAGAGGTGTGTGTCAGGTAGCTGACAATGGGCACTCCTTATTCTACAGTTGAATCTCTATGAACCAAGTCCTACTGCAATATTGTGCAAAAACTAGGTCGTTGCTTAGAAATGACGCACTGTGTGGCCCGGGTATATACTGGCTAAGAAAGAGAATAAGAAAGCTGTGAGAGGAACGAATCTGGCAACAATCAATGATGTTTATAATCTTTTGAACACCAAAGAAGAAGAAAAGTATATGCACAAGTTGGCTAGAGCAAGAAAAAGGACGAGATCTAAATAGGCTGAGATGAGTTAAGGACGAGGATGAAAAGTCATAGTCTTAGAAGAAGCAGTTAAAAACAAATGGAGTATTTTCATAAGCTCTTTAATGGAATGTTACAAGAGAAGTACTTCACCGGGGGGAACTACATAATTTGCAAGAGTGTAGAAACTCCTTCTATTGACAAATAAGGAAATGGGAAGTTTCTAGAGCTTTGATAAAGATAAAGAATGGGCAAGCGGTAGACCCATGGTTTTACCCATTGAAGGGTGGATGGTTAAAGGTGAGATCTCTATATCTTGGATCGTAAACCTTTTCAACAAAATTTGCATGAATGAAGCAAAAGCACTTTTATTTCTATCTACAATAACAATGGACATCCAGGACTGTGCCAGGGATGAATGGACTAGCTAATGAGCCACATCAATGAAGCTGGGGGAGAGAATTATCAAGAACGTCAGTGGAGGTAACAGGCATGTATTTTTAACACAATCAAGTGGGTTTTATCCCAGAGAAATATTTTAGAGGATTCTTGGAAAGAAAGGAGTACATATTACTTATATAGAAGCGATAAAGTATATGTATGATGGTGCCGGTACCACCACTTAGGCCATGGACAAGAAATGCAAAATTTTCCTGGAACCATAAGGTGGGGACTGCCCCCTCTCCCAAGAGTCCCTAAGATATTTTCTCCAAATATGGGCTCATGAAAGCTAAATGGGCTGTAAATCTTGGAAGTCTTGAACTGTTGCCTTAACACCTACTAATATATTTTCTTGAACATTATACCTGTACCGCAATATGGAATAAGTATGTGCTGATTTGTCTTTTATAATCTCCTTGTGTTACCACCACCACATTGGATCAGTGATATTAGAGCTACAACACCCGACAAGTGGTACCATAACTGGTATCATTAGCTTTATACAACGAGACTTTATTAGTATGCAGTCTCGATGTTATCTTGTGTTGATTACTGGTTTTGCAGGCTTTTCAAACAGGGTTTTATCCACCTGTGAAACTTCCTTTTCATCGTTTTCCTGGGCTGATCTCTTGCGAGGTTGTTTCTCTATGTTAGAATATTACTATTTTGTCATCTCTAGTTAAAATTAGACAGCTCATTCTTGAACTGTTTGATCACCATAGGGAACCATTTTGAATCTTCAGTAATACTGCTGAGCATTCATAGTGAATTCCATAGAAGCAACAATTCTTTGCTTATATGAAATGTTAAGTTTGCGCAATGTTAATAACTTCTGCTGGTGTGAACTTGAGACATGTTGGACCCCCTGTGACATGTTATATTGGTATGTTGATTAATAATGCAGCTTGTCTGATTTGAGTTGCGAGCTGAAGCTGGTTAACTTATGATTTGAAATGCAAATTGTTGCTGGACAGACAATGAAACATTTCAATCAGCTTTATCTTACCAAAAAAAAAACATTTCAATCAGCTTTAGTGGTGCCCGCATGAGACCTTGGTTGTAGATTTTCAATTTGAAATAGTTGGATTCATGCCAAATATGTGGAGCATGTTTTCAGGTAAAAGATGATATGTGGAAAGCACGTTGCTAAATGGCAACCAAAAATGAGTCTTCTGGCAAGCTTGATGATTTCTTGGAGGGAGGTATTTGATGATCACAAGGATCCAGACACTGACCCCCCAAAGAAAAGTCTACCTAATGCAGACATAAGTGCATATTATACAATTTACACTTTGTCAATCTTAAACATGGTCTAAATTCTTGACCTCTATATCCATTGTTTTTGACAAACTAAACTCAAAACACTTTCGACTTTGAAGAAACTAACATATTTTGCAAGAACCTTACCCAAAAAAAAAAACATATTTTGCAAGAACATCTCAGTAGCAACACATCCATCAAGTCATCAGAGTATAAAATTCATATGGACTATTGTTGTCTATTATAAGGGTTGGTTGCCCTATGTATACGTCATATGTACTGCACGTGATAGATTGAGCTCCAAGTGTATCATGCATGATTTTATGGTTTCACAAGCTTACTTGTCTCTTTCTAGACAAACTTACTGTCTTTTCTGCACATCTCTAAAGATGGTGGAGGGAAATTCAACTTTTTGATTGAATATTTCACCTGTTTCTGAATCCTCCGGTTCGTAAACATTAGTTTATGGATTTCAAACCGATGAGGTGTGGCTAATATACCGCCGAATCATTTTCTTTCTTTGGCAAAGGGGCAGGTTAAATGTTTGATTGGATTATCTGCTGATTACCATCTATTGACATAATGCAAAGGCTTCTGTTCTGGAGCATCAGTATGCATTGATTGATAATAGATATACGAGTGGGCAACATCCAATGTTGATGGCGTGCCTTTTGTGTTTGATGCTTTGAAAACCTCATGTTCATGGGGGGCATTTTCACAAAGAGGTTGATGCTTATGCTTTTATCAGTGAGCAACTTATGCAGATATCACTGTTTGTCTCACTACTGCTTTCTAAATGTATAAAATTGCATCGTGGCTTTGATGTCCCGAGAGAGTTTATACTACTAAAATGTCACAAGTTACAAATTCTGTTTCTGTAGGACATGTATTTCTATCACTATGAAATTCATAAATGAAGTAGTTATATGAGGATATTTGGAAGGAAGAGTCTTGGATATTGTGAAAGACCCATCGCATTGTAGGCATTTTAACTTCTGGTACTTTAAGCAAGTGCTAAATGAGGAAGTTTTACTTCTGATATTTGATCTGAATTTGTTAATTCTCCAGATATATGTTTCAAAAAGCCTCGTCATTTCTTTAGACAAACATCTGATGAGAAACAAGGAGACGGAACATTCTAATTGTACCTCAGTATATTTGTGTGTTCAATTCATTCCCTTAACAATTTCAAGTCCTTTAAACCTTGCAATGCCAACTTAAACAATTAGAGCTGTTGTGGTTAAGCGGTCTTTCTTTCTTGTGCTTTTGACCAGTCAAGTCGTTAATCTTCAGCAGGGTGTAGTGTCTGGAGAATAGGACCATGGTCTTAGCAAATTGGTGGTGAAAACTTACCAGTCCATGATGTGCAGCTACATATCTTCTATTAACTTCAAGTCTCTTTGCTATTGTTTGAGCTAATGCTCAAAAGGTGAGGGCTTCAGAAGAGGTATTTTGTTTTATCGATTTGTTTGGTAGAAATTTGTCATGGTAGAAGGAAGTTTTATTGCTCATACTTATTTTTGTCAATTGAGTCAATTTCTATGAGGTTTTCTATTTAAAAATTTTGCTTATTTTTCAAACTCAAAATTATTCAGTACCTGTTTTCTCATACTTTTTTTTTATAGCATATTCTGACAAAAGAATTAAAATTCGGATTATCAATATTTGTGCAAAGATACATGAGTTTCGTGAGAGTTGTTAGAACAATAAACAGTAGCACTGGATTGAGGATCTTTCCAGTCGGAACTGAAGTGGTATACATTTTGCATGTTGGGAATTGTGGAAGACAAACTATGCAGGAAGCAATTATCTTCACGTGCTTGATGGCAACTCGGGTATAGTTTTATAATATGCTTGGTGGGGTATACTTTCCACAAAGAAAGAAATTCTCATTAAAAAATAGATGCTACTTTCTGGAACTCTTAAACTTTTGCCTGATCACCATGGATTTATATGTGAAGTAGAGTTGCAGATCCAGGAAATACTCCCCCAGCTACTTCTTCACCAACCATAAAAGCTGCTGGTGGTTGGGATATATTCTCCAGAAAGTATCATTTTCCTTTTGATGTAAATGTCATTACGCATGAGTTGCCTAATCATGGAATTGGAATCTCATGCATTTCTTTTCCAGCGAATTTGTTGTATGAATTTGGTCAATTATGCTTAGTGGTTAACAGCTCGCATATAAGTTGTGCTGCTTGAGACCTTGATAGAGACAATATTTGGTGCTCTAAAATTCCAAAAAGCTTGATTGATCATGGTGGAAGGCCATTGGCGACCTCTCCTTTTCCTTCTTGCTTGCATCTGAATCCTGGAATAAGTTCTTTTGTTAATGCACTTATATGTATCTACGGAAGTATGTCTTGCTTTCCTGCTGCTGAGAAGTATTACTGCGACGTGCTTTTTGGGTATTGTGTTATAGCTGCTGGAGTCTAAATTTATATTTAACTTATGAAAGCTGTTAGAACTTTTCTTTTATCTTCAAGTGTCTTCATTCTTATTGGGTTTTTAAACTGAAGTTGATTTGAAAGGACTGAGCGACAAGTGCTTGAATGTTTATAATACGTAGGTTGAGGGGTCTGTTGGGCATACTTGACTTCAACCAATCTTTGATTACCTGTACAGAGTATTTAAGGTGAAACAAATGTCAGGCATTTATTCTGTATGATGGGTTTGTTCCAGGTTCAGGCACCAACCTTTTCAAGAAAAGTTGGGGGGTGAGAACCGGAGGAATGAGGGGATAGAATCTGTGAATTTGATTCTAATCTCGAAGGGCATAATCTTTTAATTAATGTCAAATCCTTGGCAGGTCCTGTCACTTTTGCATATCCTTTTCGCATTGAGAGTTGCATTACAGTGTCTAAGTACTGTGTTTGCTATGATGCACGAAATTCGGTCTGATGGCCACTATGTGATATTTTTCTCTTTTGGCTGCAATGTATCTGTTTGATACACGTGCAGTGGCATCTCCTCCATGTGATCCTAGAGCTTGTCCATTTCCATGAAACAGTCTGGTGGGATCTGCCCTCTTCTGTTAGCCCCACTTCCCCAATTGGGGATGATAAACCCAAGATGGATCTTTTTCACTCTTATTAATCAGTGTCGTGCTTTTTATCTCTGCTCTTGTTAGCCCCTATTTTTAACCAAAATGGGCAGGCATTATTGAATAATTAGGGAATGACTGACGTGTTTATCTCACTAAATCTGGACCATTTTTTTTCCTTCCCTTGTTTTTTAACCTTCATGTCACATAGCTCTCAATCTCCATGTAGAGCCACTCGGTGAGCTGGAGACACATGGACACTGACATACAGGATGTGGATTTCAGGGAAGCTATTTCTTATTCAAGGAAACAGAGGAGAAACTGGTGCTTGAAGTTGCTCAGTCTGAGATAAAAGGCAAACAAAAAGTTGAGCTGCTTTTTTTGCTTATTGGGGCAGGAGATGGTGGTGGGAGAGTGGGAGGGGCTTTCTGTTTCTTTTTGCTCAGAAGACAGCCATCTTTGGTCCTCTTTCTGAGAGACAGTCTCTATTCTGTTGTGGGTGAAGGGATACAAATTAAATGGTTGGAATGGGTGCACGTAAACTCCTCTGTTTTGCTCCCCTTTCTTCCATCTGCCGGTACTGTACGCAGCCATTAAACTCCCCTTGTGGTCCCATTGGGAACCCATACGCCAAACTGCACGTATCCATCAATATGAACAAATTTTCATTTTAGTGCAAAGAGTTGCAAGGGATTTGATGGTATATATTAAGCACATTTTATTTGTGACTGATTAGTGCAAGTTCTTGGGCCAACATGTTTAAGTAGGTTAGTGTATCAGAAAATTGATTTGACCAAAAGGAGACTGTCAAATGGATCAATTAGAAGTATTATCCCCCGACATTGTTTAGATATACTCTTTCGATCACTGACCTGGAATGACTTTACATGGAGATAGGATGAGTTGATATCTCCCAAATGGATCACAGATCTCAGCAAAAGACCCGATGACATTGTTTAAGTAGACCCCTTTGATCATTGACCAGGAATGATTTTATAAGGAGATAGGATGAGTTCATATCTCCCAGATGAATCAGAGATAGCAGCCATATCCCCCTCCACTTACTCCCCAGAAATGACCTCCCACCACAAGGTTTTTTTATATGCATATATTCACCTCACTGCAATCCAAGCACTTTTACCTCATTCAGACTTGATTGAGAGAGAGAGAGAGAGAGAGAGAGAGAGAGAGAGAGAGAGAGAGAGAGAGAGAGAGACAGAAAGAGGATAGGACCCGGAGAAGATTTCGCACGCGGCATGTTACCTCTCAAATATAGCAACTAGGAAAGGAGTAATGTTTTAGTGTTGCAATAATTGGCACCAGTTTGGCGCAATCCGAACCACCGTCTCGATCACAGACGAGAGGATTGTCATTCTCAATGGGGATTAATCGGTGGCTAACTGGCTTTAGATATCCCAACATGCAGGAGAACATACAACAGTTGCAGACATGGTAGTGGGTTTGCATCACCATGGGGGGATCTTGGGGCAAAGCAAGAGAGAGCCATGCATGCATGGAGGATGACATGCCTCCCTTTAGTGCATGCAAACATCTCCTCTGCTACCAAGTCATGAAGCAAACTCAACCATGTCCCCAAAAACAAACACCCCCAATTATTCCCCTTGTCATTTCTGGCAGGCGAATTTGCTCTCTCCACTTGGCCCCCCCTACCCCCCCTCTTTTCTTCAAGATAAAATTCTTTATCGAACCTTGGTACGTTACGAAAAGAAAGGGAAGATCACACACCTAAAAGCCACAAGCTTCATAAAAACATTATCCCCTCTGAAAGTGCAAAAACATAAAATACTTGAGGTCTCATCACAGTAATCCCACCCATCCCAAAAAGAGGATCGGCCACTACTGCCATATAGCCTTGGAAACCTGTACGTTCTCTCACAAACGGTCCAATGTCGGTTTGAAAATACTAATTATTTCCCCACCAATGCCTTCTGGGGTTTTCGCCCTTCTTATATTCAGATAAAGATCACACAACTCGGTTCATACAAAAAGTGTTGCCACTCACTTTCCTCCTAATCTCTCAAGTATGTGCTCAACTAAGCTGCCAGGCAATTACTATATTCAATCAACCAAGGGCGGACTGGCCTTAGCAGCGACAGGGGGAAGGTCTACGCGAAAAGGTAACTACACAACGCAGTAATCTAATCACGGGCCGTCTACCTTTACATTCACCCTCCACTGCAAGCATGACCGTGACCGCGTAATAACCTAACGAAAAAATTACCCATGGCTACACCAGAAACTTATATGTAGTAGGGTTTCTTTATAATGGGTGTATTGTATAAGTAGCGCACTTGGACTTCCTATGCACTAATTCTGTCTTTTTTCAAATTCCTAGAGGAGGCCCCTCATGCATTACATATAAGTAGAGATCAAAAATTAAAGATGCAAAGAAAGGCGCACACTTTTGGCGGGTCGTTGACACGTCCGAAGGAGGAGAACCGAAAGCGGGCCCGACTCACCCCAACCCCCCCCCCCCTGTTGTGTATATATAGACGGCCCCTCTTCCCTCCCCTCTCATGCCAACAAAACTCTTCATTGAAGGCTCGAAAAAGAGAAGAAAAAGAGAAAGAGCTCACCCTCTAAAAGCAAACAAACGAATCCGCAACAAAACCCAAAATTTTGCACAATCTCGTTTTTTTCATTCCCCTCTCCGTCTCTCCGTCTCTCTCCCTTTCTCTCACCCACAAACATTTGAAATAACCTTTTCTGTGTTCATTTGTCCACTAGCAATAGTATCACCACACACCACCATCATCGTTCATTCGTTTCAGCAAAGCTATCATGTGCAACCCGAACCCATCTTCGCTTGACTTCCCTGAGAAGACCCTACTCAACAAGAACCCCGATAAGACCACCATGGACCTCCAAGATGACCTCCACAGATGGCCTACGCCTTCCGAGGTAATAAACAAAAGCTATTATTTCCACTTTTTTGCATGCATGAACATGATGCTCGAGGAGATTTGCTAGGAAAAGATGGCCATGCAAAGCTTTAACATGTTCTTTAAATTTTCTCAGGCTTTGGAGGAGATTAAGGCCATAGGGAAGATATCCGGGCCGACGGTGGTCACCGGCCTGCTCCTGTACTCGAGGGCCATGATCTCGATGCTCTTCCTCGGGCGCCTCGGCGAGCTCGAGCTCGCGGGTGGGTCCCTCGCCATCGGGTTCGCCAACATCACTGGCTACTCCGTGATCTCCGGCCTTGCGATGGGGATGGAGCCCATCTGCGGGCAGGCTTACGGCGCGCGGCAGTTCAAGATGCTTGGCCTCACGCTGCAGCGCACCGTCCTCCTCCTCCTCTCGGCCTCCATCCCGATAACCTTCATGTGGGCCAACATGAAGGAGATCCTCTTGTGGTGTGGCCAAGACGAGGAGATATCATCCACAGCTCACACATTCATCCTCTTCTCAATGCCTGACCTGTTTTTCCTCTCTCTGCTTCACCCACTGAGGATTTATTTGAGGACTCAGAACATCACATTGCCTCTGACCTATTGCTCAGCTGTTTCGGTCCTCCTTCATGTCCCTCTCAATTTCCTCTTGGTGGTCCACTTCAAGATGGGCATTGCTGGTGTTGCTATAGCCATGGTCTGGACTAATCTCAACCTCTTCGTCTTGCTCTCGGCCTACGTCTACTTCTCGCGCGTGTACAAAGACTCTTGGGTCGCCCCAAGTGCGGACTGCCTCCGGGGGTGGTCCTCCCTGCTCGCCCTTGCCGTGCCGACCTGCGTCTCAGTGTGCCTCGAGTGGTGGTGGTACGAGCTCATGATCGTGTTGTGTGGCCTGCTCGCGAGCCCCCGTGCCACCGTGGCTTCCATGGGGATCCTCATCCAGACCACCTCGCTGGTCTATGTGTTCCCCTCGGCTCTCAGTCTCGGGGTCTCGACCCGGGTGGGGAACGAGCTCGGCGCGAGGCGGCCCTCCCAGGCCCGGATTTCCTCCATCATCGCGCTGGTCTGCGCAGCGGGGCTCGGCCTCGGGGCGATGCTGTTCACCACCCTGGTGCGGCACCAGTGGGGGCGGCTCTTCACGGGGGACGCTGAGATACTGGAGCTGACAGCAGCGGCACTGCCGATCGCAGGGCTCTGCGAGCTCGGGAACTGCCCGCAGACCACGGGATGTGGCGTCTTGAGGGGGAGCGCTAGGCCCACGATTGGCGCCAACATCAACTTGGGCTCATTCTACCTCATCGGCATGCCGGTGGCGATCGTGATGGGGTTCGTGGCCAAAGTGGGCTTTGCAGGGTTGTGGCTTGGCTTGTTGGCTGCTCAGGCTTCATGTGCATTGCTCATGCTCTATGTTCTCTGCACAACTGATTGGGCGGTTCAAGTGGAGAGAGCCAAAGAGCTCACTCAACCTCCTCCCTCTTCTTCCTCTTCTTCATTGCCAATCTCATCCAAAGGGTCATCAGCTGATTCTGCTCCTGTCTCTGTCGTCATGAACCAAAAGGAAGCAAGCAGCAATAAGAAGAGGGCTAATCTTGAAGAGATACTTTGTGTCAACGAGGGTGGTGATGATGATGGGCATATTGTGAACTCAGCTTCATCACATGAGACAGACCCTCTGTTATCCACTCCAAACACAGTGCACTGATGGTGATTCGCATGTTAACCATTATTCCCTCCATTTTTGCAGATATCGGTCCTCTCCTCCTGAGTGGTTGTTGTGTAAAAAGAACCAAAAAAACCCAAAAAAAAGAAGATTAGATTCTCATTGATCATCCCACTTAGTGCTATTGTAGAAAGTTCCTTTCCCCCTTCGTTTTTTTCTCTCTTTTGTTTTGGGTTGTGCCTATTTTTATTGACTTTCTTTTTCCCCCATCTCGCTGTATATCTTAATGGTTCTCTCATCTCAATACAATACTGACACAGTGGAGAGAGAGAAAAGCTTAGGCTGTCGGTTGTTTTTGAGGCGATGGAGAGAGAGAATCTGCGTAACAATTTTGTTTGTTCTTCCCTTCCATATAAGGCAACAACACTTGGCTGCCTAAAAAGGAAAATTAGCATAAATGCCCCCTTTACCTTTGGGATTTACAAAATGAGGCGCACGCAAGCATACGCATCGAGGTTTAAATCTATTATATTGTTCCTGAAATACCTTAGAGAGCGATAGATGGGCCAGAACATTTTTATTTAGGGAAAAATGATTAGACATCTAGTGCTTACTACCGTACCTTGCCCCCCATACAACTAGGTTTCGAACAACATTATATGAATGTAGTGCGACGAATTGCTTTTATCACCACCTCAAACAAAGCGCGGAGTGCTTATTTGCAGATGAATTAATGGAGAAAGGGTATTACCATAAACATATACAGGGCATGGATACGATTGACGATACGCATTGTGAAGAAAGTTGCTTTCAAATTAAGAATGCCACAAAACATAAAGAAAGATCTGGTTGTTTCATATATGAGGAGAGACCGGAGTCTTCGAGTGTTTCTCATGTGCTCTTGAAGTATGACGCTTTCGTTGGCTCAGGTTAATCACTGCATATATAGTGTCATCATTTTCAAAATGGGAAGGAAGAAACTCTTGACGCTGTACACATAGTAATTGATTCGGATGGACGGTAAATAACCTGACACGCCTCGAGAATGCTTTTTTCTAAGTGTGCATCCCAGTGTCCACCCCTTGGCTACCTCCAATTCCCAAAAAGCTACACAGATTTTCACACCTATCATGGATGGCACAAGCGAGTGCCCAATAATGAGTGAGGGTTGAAGATAATTGGGTGGGTGGGTGGAGGCATACAGGGGGAGAGGAAGTATGCAGTGAAGAGAGTGGAACTTGGAGGAGGAGGATGGGGGGGCCCCTGTTGAGAAATGAAGAAACAAAATCTAAGCAATTATTGAGTCTGTCTACTTCTCTTATGACAAAAGCAGGATCGCAGTGTCCCTCTTGCTTCTGCCCTCCGCTCCCAAAACCTTTTGTTTTCATCTGCCACCCCCCCACCCCACACCCCCTCCCTCTTCTCAAAATCAAACACTCTTTCACCAACAGAACCATTTCCATCAACCTCTTCCGATACCCAATGTTCCATGGGGGAGGACATCTCAGTGGACTTTGTTTGTAATAATGCAACAACACTGGTGAAAAACTTATCTAGGAACGTGAAATTAGAAATTATATCCAATTGCTCCTTTTACCATAATTGCTGGTTCTTGTCTTCTTCTTCTCCGTCCGTACATGCACATTTTTTCTTATGGTTTATTCGGATTCACATGGGAGATAAGGTGTTATAGTGTCCGACGTAATTGGTTTATGAGTTTTACATTGATTATATGAATAAATATTTTTTCTTTGCTAAATTATTTAACTTGTTAGACATGTCTTTAAGTCTTATGCTATTCATGTCCAAGATATTTTATCGGTAGCTAAGTGTTGTGCCACCTCTAATCAGGATTACCCGTTTTGAGGTCATGGAGACCCGAATGAGTTGCGACCCGAAGTGAAAATTATTGTCTACGATGCCCGAGTGGGGCCTCCCTGCAAGAATTATCAGAATAATGGGCTCCACACTCACTTCTAACACATTCAGCTGCAAAGAACCAAAAAATACAGATCAACTGATCAAATCTATACATGGGAAAAATTACCAAAAAAGTCCTAAACCTTTTTTTTTTTTCATTTCAGTCCTAAACCTTTTCCAATTGTGCCAATTCAGTTCATCCGGCCACTTTTGGTTGGCCAGCGCTGACGTAGACGCCGGCCGGCCGACGTGGCATTATTTTAATATTTTTTTTCCTTTCTCTCTTTTTTTTTCTTTCCTTCTTCCCCCTGGCCGGTCCGGCCAGGGGGAGGCTCGCCGGTGAGGTGACCTCGCCGGCCATGGGCGAGGTCGAGCTCGCCCGGCGACGGTGAGGCCTCGCCCAGATCTGGCGAGACGTCGCCATCGCTGGGCGAGGTCGAGCTTGCCCGACAACGGCGAGGTCTCACTAGATCTGGGCGAGGCCTCGCCGTCGCTGGGCGAGCTCAACCTCGTCCATGGCCAGCAAGCTCGACCTCGCCCAGCGACGGCGACGTCTCGCCAGATCTGGGCGAGGCCTCGCCGTCACCAGGCGAGCTCGACCTCGCCCATGGCCAGCGAGGTCACCTCGCCGGCGAGCCTCCCTCTGGCCGGACCGGCCAGGGGGGAAGAAGGAAAGAAAAAAAAAAAGAAAGGAAAAAAAATATTAAAATAATGCCACGTCGGCCATCTGGTGTCCACGTCAGCGCCGGCCGGCCAAAAGTGGCCGAATGGACTGAATTGACAAAAAATAAAGGTTTATGACTGAATTCGCACAATTGCAAAAGGTTTTGGATTTTTTTGGTAATTTTCCCTCTATACATGATCATCACTTTAACCTCCATTGATCATGTGCTTATATCAACATCGTGTGCATGATATGGATGAACTGTTAGAATATGTTTTGTACTTTGAACGAGGCCCCTGCTTTATCATTCTTTAGGTTCCCCATTATTTCTTTTCCTCCTAGAGCCTTAAGCCACTTATTCTCTCCCTCCTATTATTCTCCTTGTTGTTCTTTGTTTTATTTTTATTCTTTGCCGCAATTGCCTGTGGAAATTGTGGCAAAGAATTGTCTTTGTGATGGGTGGAATTACGCCAATTTTCCAAAGATGCTAATTTTTTTTCGGTACTGCAAATTCACAAAAGACAAAAATAATACGTGCATATCCATTTCTCTTTGGTGCGTACAAATGAAAAGCTCTAGTGGTCCAAGAGGCAACAAGTTTCTTCTTCTCCTCTCTCTCTCTCATATTATGGATTTAGGAAGATTTAACATATTTAATTGGGTCACTATTAACACAAACTCACACACACAATCCTACCGCAAAATATTTAAAAAAATTCAATTCAATTTTAAAATAAAAGAAGTTGCTTAAAAAAATTCAAAGCGGCTTGACAGGAAGAAGTGCTAAGGTTTGTGTATTGACATCCAATAGCATTTGCATTAGAGGAATATCCTACCATTACTTTATTAAGCATTTGGGATGAGATAAATTCCATTTCCAAATTTGACACTGTATTGGTTTTCGAAGACTCTTGTGTACATCCACACAAACCATGCTTTTGCTTGACGCCTACGATGATAGATATTGTAGAGACATGGTTGGTGACAAATGGTTGTGCCTTGCCCTTGAAAGTTTAGCACGATTGGTGCTCGGAGAGAGCGAATTTTTCCCCTTCGAAACGGTGCATTCTCGCCATACGGAACCTTCATTTTCAAGTAATTTCCTCGGCATTAAGCAAAGCTAAGCACTAGAAAAACGGACTTTCAAGAAACCCTTTGCGGAAAATATTTGATCACCACCAATATATCTCAATATGATCAAACTAATACTACTTTGGTTAAGAAGTCACCTTCCTTGAAACGCACCCTAGAACTACTCTATTGCTCTCTGATAAAACCCTACAAACAAATTGCAAAAACCTTTTTCTGATTTCTTATCTCCCAATGGTGGGAATCTCCTCAAAATGGCGATCGTTTTAATTGGGAATTATTCCCAACCAAAACACCCATCATTGTCGTCAACATCATGGTGACTTGGAATCGAATAACCATGAGCCACGTGTCATTCCAAAGGGGATAATACTAAAAGCGGCCGTTGACGGAGCGACAAGTGTCTAGCATCTCTTAGTCACTTTCCTTAACTTAGTGTCTAGTTCAGCAAATTGCACGAGAACGCAATCGCTTTAGTCTTTTTTATATTGTGTTAATACATTGTCATAAGACAAAGCCAGACAGAAACCAACCGCCCCACCCCATTGGCAGAGACTAGTGGCTGGTTGATGCACCACAGACTTCAACAGAAAAGAAACACTAAATTAGGGTACTTTGGATTAAGAAAGACAGAAAGTGATCTCTTTGATTAAGAACACAAAAGAAAATATATTAATAAAATAAAAGCTTACTAAAGAATGTGTTTAAAAGCAATCCATGAAGTTCCTGGCCACAGGCGGAGCTAAATCTGGCAATGGCATATGTGCTCTTTTTCCTAAAAATGTCTTTTCAAAGCAGCAAAGCGCACACGCACGCTCTGGTGAGAGAGAGAAGTTCAAGTGGGACTTATCTTTTCTGCATAAATATATAATAGTTAGTTGCTCATACTAGTAGTGCAAGATTTAAGCTTTGGCCAATGTGGCTATGAAATCTGACACTCTATACCATAACAAGTGTTGGTCTTCTCTTCTAGGCAAAGACCTCTGTGTCAAACCCAGCTCCGTTTATTCCACCATTTCTGCCGAAAGTCTTCTCTTTTCAAGGGCATTTTTATCGTTTGAAAAGTGAGAGAGAGAGAGAGAGAGAGAGAGAGAGAGAGAGAGAGAGAGAGAGAAGTTGGACATTGATCCTCTAGCTATCTCACTAAGTAGTTCATGACCCACACTTGATGCCTCCACCAGAGGCAAAGTTGATGTAGTGTCTTGAAGTTTCGTTGGATTCATGCACCCACATTTGTGCATTTTTTTGCGTGCTGTCAAAGATGTTTTGCAGCTACTTTCCATGTCCAAGACCAAGTTCAAGATGCATGCGCCTCAATGTTACCCTTCACTGCCTTCTCAATACTGTAAGGTATTTGCGCATATAGCCAATTGCTATGTGCACGTCGTTTCGATTAATAAAAGTAGCTCTAGAACATGCATAACAATGGATAAATCGAAGTTCCTTCTATGCATGGACCCTCTCTTAGTGTTTGATCTCGTTCCACTCATTGTAAATACTCATAGGACAATTGATTGTCAGGTAAGACATGGGAATCTCATTGCACGCCGCATAAAAAGCAGAGGATGTTCTAGATGATTCAAGTCCTAAACGGTA